ATATAATAGTGGACAATTTAAATATGAACAAAATGAAGGAAAGGTAAATGTAACTAGAAATCCCATTCACCAGCGATAACTACAGTTTATATATTGCACATCTTTCTAGACCCCTATGCACTGAACTATGTATCTTTAGTTAAATGATAAATTTATGTGAATGATATTCTCCATGCTTTTGGGGAACCTAATATATACATTAAAATTTTTTTATTTAAAATAATATGTCAAGGACAACATTCAATAACAATAGGTATATATCTAAAACCTCTTTTACATGTGCTTAATCATTACTAAGGTAATAGATATTTCTTTTATAAAATGCAAGGTATGTACAAATATAGAAATACAAAGAAATTTTCTCACAGTTCCTAATCTTCCATAGATGATACTTTCATAGATATTTTTCTTTGGTCATTCATATGTGAGTATCTGTGTGTGTTTTGCTCCCCACTATATTTTTTCTATTCGATTTCCCCCCCATTGTATGAAATATCTTGGTTGTCTTTTCATGTATCAATATTGTATTTTTCAGTATTACAAAAATATATTGTTTATATATCCTTGTAAATGTGATTTATTTCCGTGGGATACAGTTCTAGATTTCTGAGCATTTGAAAAAAAATTTTTTTAAAACTTTATTGGAGAACAGTGTGTTTTTCCAGGACCCATCAGCTCCAAGTCAAGTAGTTGTTTCAGTCTAGTTGTGGAGGGTGCAGCTCAACTCCAAGTCCAGTCACTGTTTTCGATCTAATTGCGGAGGGCACAGCCCACCATCCCATGTGGGAATCGAACCGGCAACCTTGTTGTTCAGAGCATGCACTCTAGCCAACTGAGCCACCCGGCCTCCCTGAGCATTTGAAATTTTCACTCTTGGAGTCAAACTGTCTCCCTGAAGAGCTGCCCCAATTTGCCCTCACACCCACAGTGTATGAGAAATTCCATTTCCTCACATCCTCCCCAGTATTAAGATGTGCCAACCTTCTTTATTTTTACTTAACTGAGAGACAAATCATGATTTCACATAGTTGTTTTTATTTACGTTATTTGAGTTACTATAATAGTAACACTGAATATATTTTCTCCATCATTCCTTCACCCTTTAGCTGATCTCTACTTTCAGTCTTACATTCTTATCTAGAAGTAGAAAACTAATGCCATGACTTGAAAAGAAAAAATTGCAGTATGGGATCTTAAACATAAAGACCTCCCTGTTAGGTTCTCAGCACTCAATCACCCTTTGAATGTTTAATGTGAGTTAAGTGATCTTGATGAAATGTAAAGGTTACAATGTTCTGATGATCTCATCAAATCTCAGTGAGAGGAAGTACAAAACACTAAAATCTCAGATTTTAGCGTAGCATCACCGCTCCTCCCCATTCTGCAGGATTTCTGTAACATTAATTAGGCCTGCATTTTTCATCATTCATACCTGTCTTTCTCCTTCATCATTTCCCTACTCACTTTCCACATATTAACTCTTGTCCCACCAGTCTCCCACCTCACTCAGGAGAATGCTTCTGTCATCTGTAGCCAAATCTGTGAGGTTCTCTGCACTGTTACAGTTTCTTCGTTCCACTCTCATTTTCAGTGTCAATGAGAACATAATGTACTTCCTTCCAGATAAGGTTATTTGTGTTGCGTAAGTCAGAAGCCTTCACTTTTTTTCTATAGGAGAAGCAAAGAACCGAAAGTATAACCCATCAAGTTTCCATAGGTTTAACTTGTATGGGGTCCCAACACCACATTTTAATGATGGACGCAACACGGCAAAATCTTTATATTGGCTCCATGAACTACAAATGTAAGTTTAATTGCGTTGTGCCCTGGGGCAAGGGTTAGGTATTTGACATAGAGACTTAAGAAAATTTTATTTTTTAAAAATTTATTTTTATGAAGAGGTAATGCATTGACATGGTTCAAACATAAAATTAATAGAAAAAGATATGCAGCAATATGACTTCCAAACTGTTGAGTTTCCCCAGAGGTGATCATGATACTGTTTTGTGTGTGTGTCTGTCTGTGTGTGAGTGTGAGGGGCATGTATCATTCTAAAGTTACTTTGTGCCTTTACAAGCAAATATAAAGACATATATGCATGTTGTTAATCTATGGGATCACCCCTGTTTGTGTTTTTTAATAATGGTGGGCTTTCAAATCTCTACAATCATGTCACATATCATTGACCTGTCATTTATCATTCAGCTTTGTTTAATGATTATTTAGGCACCTGAGAACCTGACTTAACTCTTGTAAACTGTGACCTTTTCACACCTTCATTCTGTATATGACTACTTACCTAGGAAACTAAATTAAGATTCCTTAGTTTTTCATTATCTGTGTTATATTTTGTATCTAAGCCAACATTGAAACAGTAGGAGATTACTCGTAAAAATCCATATTTCCTACTATGCTTAAAAACTCAGAAGATTGGAAATACTGGTCTAGTAGGTTGAATAGTAGCCCTCAAAAGATATGTCCAGATAATTCCCAGAACCTGTGAATGTTACCTCATGTAGGAAAAGGGTCTTTGTAAATGTAATTAAATTAAGACTCGTGAGATGAAGAGATCATTCTGAATGGGCCCTGAACCCAATGACAAATATCCTTATAAGGAAAAGGCAAAGGGAGATTTGAGGCGGAAGAAAAGACACACAGAGAAGGTGGAGTGAAGATGGGGGAGGGGATTGGAATCATGTAGCCTCAGGTAAGGAAGGCCAAGAATGGCAGCCTCTAGTGTTGGAAGAAACAATGAATAGATTCTTCCCTAAAAACTTTCCGGAGAATGCAGCCTTGCTGACACCTTGATTTCAGACTTCTGGACTGCAGAAGGGTAAGATGATACATTTCAGTTTTATTAAGCCACCAATTTGCTGTAATTTGCTACAGCGACCACAGGAAGCTAATATACTGGGCACACGTTTCTACACATCAAGGGTGGGAGCGGATTTGTTTTGTCCTCTGCTGCCTTTAAAAGATACACTGGGCCTGCCTCCAGTTTCCAGGCTGCAGTGTGCACATAAAGTTTGCATTCCCACAGGACGCAACCCAGCCTGCCTCATCCAAGCGCCTGTCCGGTCTCTGTGATAACAACAGCTCCCAGTTACAGAGGCAAAGGACTAAATATTTTAGATATTATTAATTTAGTCCTACCAACAACTCCACGAGGTAGGCATACTATAATTTTTACCTTTTGCATTTTACAGATGAAGAAACTGAGGTACAGAGTAGTTAAACCATTTGCCCACAGTCATGCAGCTAAGCAGTAATACGGGTAGGAATGAAACCCAGGTCGTGTGCGGCTCCAGAGGCTGGCCTGCCACTGCACCAGGTTTATAGGCACTAGATTCTGTGATTACAGGCCTAAAATAATGATTTCCATCCCTCTTCCAACTCCTTTATTACATGAGTTTCTGATACTTGAATTATTCAAAACAACGATGGTAAAACATAACACAAAAGAAATTCTTACAATGTAGTAAACCCAAATGAGGTCGTTTTCTTTTGGGTGTAGAAGAAAAGCTCATATAACAAACATTCATTAATTTATCACTATTGTGGTTATACCATACACAAAGGAAGAAATGACTTAAATATTTAAGGACTATTGCTATTTATAATTAAATGCAATATAGAAATTGATACTTAAAGGGAAATGACAAATATGTTTATCCAATTATGAAACTTGGAAATATAAACCTGCTATCAATTTATAAAAGATATGAAATTAACATAAATTGGGTTTACTCTTAACTTTTAAGGGGTATATTTCCTCTGTAAAACTACCTCTTTATATTCTGTTTATGACTTTTGGTTTGAAGAATCAGGATCTTCAAATGGTAGGCGTATGTGTGTGCGCATGCAAGTTTATTTATGCATGAATGAAAAAAATTCACTGGCACACAAAGGACTTTATTCTGAGTTGGTTAGTGAATGCTATGTGGTTGTATAATGATGTTAGAGTTACTGATATTCTAACATACATGGCCATTCATGTACTTCCTGATTCTCCCAGATACAGAATCCAGGCACTATTATACTGAAAAGAGTAGGCTCCATGATTCATAATCCTTACCCTTACCATTCTTCCATGTTCCTAGTTATGTCCCTTGGAGCTGGTTTTTGGGTTGTTGACTTTATTTGTTCAAATTATGGCCTGTAAACTGCCATTGATTTATTCTGAACTTACCCATATTGTTCTTTTTATTTCTCCTTTTTGAACTAATGGAAAGTAAAAGAAGAAATAAGAGATGAATTACTTTATATTTCATCTTTTGTTTCTCCACAGAGTGTCACTCTTCTCCAGAAATTTATTCAGCCTGCGATTTCTACAGTACAGGAAATAGTTTTAAAAGCAAATGGAGTTTAAGAATTTTATGTTCATTGTTTTCAGTCTCAGCAAAACAATAAAGAATTTATTAATTTTAATGTTATTAAATAGTAGTGTTATAATTTTACAGTTCTCAAAAGAAATCTTATTCATTTAATCACAATGATAGAAGTAACAAAATTATATTACAGAAAATTAGCAAAATAAAATCACCCATAAGCCTGTCACTTTAATGCAACTATTATTATCTTTTTAATGTATTTCTTTCTAGTGTGGTTTCCTGTGTAGATTTTTGCATAACTTTAATCAGAATGCAATCCTATTTTATATCCTTTTACACTTAACATAAAATAATTTTCTATTGCTGTTGTATTCTTAATAACCAACGTTTAAAATGCAAGCAGTGTATTGTTGTTAATGTGACATAATATAATCATCCTTCATGATTGAACATTCAGATTCTTTTCTTTTTCCCATAATAGTCAATGAGGCTACAAACATTTTTATAAATATAACTTTTTCTTGTTTTTAATTGTTACGTGCATTATCTTCTTATGATTGGTTCCCAGATATTGATAAAAGGTAATGAATATTCTTAGGCATTTTGAATCATATTACCAAATTATTTCCAAAAGGATTACAGCAATTTGCACCACAAGTGTTTTACCATACTTTTTGTCAGTGTTAGATATTTTCTCTCACTCTTTCTGTTTCTCTCTCTATATATATTTGCTTGTGTACTACGTTAGAAGTGGCACTTTGTTTTTTTTTAAATTTTATTACTAGAGACATTATAATTTCTCCATATATTTGCTTACTAGATGTGAATTATCTGTTTATATCACTTATTTATTTGATGCTTAATTTTCTTTTAGCAATTTTAAAAGTTAGACTTATAATAATGATATCGACAATTTGGTTTTGTTTACTGAAAAATATTTTTGAGTCCTATCATCTTAATCTTTAATCAAAATTTTGTATTCTGCTATAAACTTATCTTTATAGTAGCATATATAGGATAGCAGAATGAGCACGTAAAGCTTTCTTTTGATTGAGGAGAGAAGCGTGAACAGCAGCACCATGGTAACTCAACGGAAGAACCTAGAAGGCCTTGTGGGATTTGTGAATCTCCCAAATCAAGTCTACAGAAAATCAATGAAGAGAGAGGGTTTGAATTCACACTCATCTCTGTGGGTGAATCTGGACTGGGAAAGTCAACGTTAATCAACTCATTATTCCTCACGGATTTGTATTTTCCAGAGTACCCAGTTCCTTCCCATAGAATAAAAAAAAGCTGTACAGGTGAAACAATCCAAAGTTTTAATCAAAGGAGGTGGTGGTCAGTTTCTGCTCAACAACTGCATTTCTGTATTTTTTTGTTTGTATTGTAACAATTTCACATAACAATGTTTTTTGGTGTTAAAAGAAATGCTTTCTTTTGTGCGTACAGTAATTTGTTTGAACCTGGACTTATGTTTTCATGGCCCAAATGATACTATGACAATTTTTACCATGTGTATATTCGCAGCCAAGAATATTTTAGGTAATAGAGATAATGTGACAACTTTCTAATTTTGTAGGAAAAGAGGAGCTAAGATTGTATCCAAGAGAGTTGATGATTTCAAAGAAAAGTTTCAGCATAAACTTGGAAGAGTTTTAGATCCGTAAGTTAATGATTAACTTTGAATTGACAATTTTCGGATTGAATTTAAAAAGTACTCTTGTGGTAAAAATTGGCTTGTGGTGTACTAGAGTCTGTTTATTAAATAAGAAAGCCATTCTTTTGTGTTTATCAGACAACTCTATTAACTTCTTTAGACCTTGGGGTTCCAGTAAAGTGCTGAGTCCTCCAAGATGGAGAAGGCATTTAGAGAAGAGGGAGGGGGAATTTGGTGTAAAGCTTTATATCTGGGATATCAGAAATTTAACTTATTGTATTGCATTTTTCTCTCTCTCCGTCTCCCTATATATAACCCTGTAATTCTGCTTTGAATATGTTTTGTATGTTCTTTTTAAATCCAGGCTACTGAGAGCCCATGAAAGCATTCAGCCATTGTTAATTCAAGTAGAAGATTAGACAAAAGATCTGTTGGAGGATTTCTGTTTGATCTTCATAGTTTGGTTACAGGAGAAAATATAGGCTATTAAAAACATATGGCAAGCATATCTTAAATTCCAGGGGTGCCATGTGGTGGGTATTTTAACTAAACAATTTGTTTTCTTTGATAGCATTGCAGAAACAATGAATGTTCCCCCAGACCACACATTTGGAGCTTGTCTCCATCCTGAGGATTATGGTAAATATACAAACTTTCTCTTTAAAAAATAACAACAACAAAACCCCACAAAGTTATGCAGTTAAGTTCACAGTCTCCTTCTCTCAAGGCTTCTAATTTTAGAGACTCAAAATATCATATGAACATTAATGAGAAAAATTTGTAGCACAAGAAAGAAAAAATGTTTTCATATTATGTTTGAAATGGGTACAGTGTAAAGCCCTTGTAATGAATACCTTCAGTGTAGTTAAGGCTCAGAATTTTATTTAGAAAATAAATGTGGTCTGTACTAAGCCAGCCAAAGTGAAGTGAGGCAGCCTTTTAATGAATTCAGATGTTGTAGGCCCTTGCTTCTCAAAATGTGGTCTGCAGACTGGCGGTGTTGGCATCCTCTGCAAGCGTCTTAGAAATGCAGAATCTCAGACTCCACTCCAGATCTACTGAATCAGAAGCTATTGGGTTGTCGGAAAAGTCATGGCGCATTTTTGCAATGAAAAACAGAAAAAATACGTCATGACTTTTCCGACAGCCCAAAATAATACATTTTAATAATATTTCCATATGAATTGTAGGCACATTCAAGTTTGAGAAAGCCCTGTACTCTACAATCACATAATTAAGAGCCACTCTCTTCCCACCAGCCAGTCAATCAATCAGTCTATAAAGTAGCAGAAGAAACTTAGCAGGGTTTTGTCTTTATTTCTAAGCAATCTATACGTCAGACCTTCAAAGTGAAAACTATGCTAAAGCTTGTCAAGATTGGGCTGTATTTCAGTGGTTTTCAAAATATAGTCTGCAGTCTCCATGCATTAAACTCACCCAGGGAGTTTATTAGACATGCAGGTTTCTGGAACCCATGCCCAGACATTCTGACTCAGTAGGTTCTATGTACAGGAACGTGTAAGAAGCACCACTGAAAATGTTTCAGCTAAAGTCCACTCACTGACAAAAGTAAGTATTTATTTTTATGTGAGCTTATGCAACACACTGTTTCGGAGCATCATTAATTGCCACATTAGGGAGATTGTATTTTGGTTCTGTTTTTAGGTGAACTGTTATATGTATAACTGATGCCTATTTATCTTGGAGACTCTTTATACCTGTAGGAGGGGGTAAGGGATGATTTAGGAAACCAAGCAATCAGCCTGGAAAACAAGTAGGTAATCGTGATAAACTCTGCCTACTTGAGGGCAGGCTTCAGGTGGTGGGGGCTTTGTCTTGCTGCCTGTTGGGTCCTCAGGATCCAGCGCCCAGCACATTCCCCACCAGTATTTATAGCATGAATCAATGAATCCAACACAGTTTGTATTTTGACAATTGACAACATCAACAAATTTCCTGATAGTTGATCAACGCTATCCTTATAAATTGAATGATAATATAGTGTTATAAAATGAAAAGGAGGGACACTGAAGTTAATAATTAAAAAAAATATGTTAGTACCAGCCTTGGTGGTGCATAGTGTAACTGTGAAAGGGGACTGTATATCTTCTCTGAACTCTTTCTCCAGTGGAGCTCATGGATAGACACTTCTGGGGACATACTGGTTTTTTAGTGGGCCTGGATTTCTCCCTTACCCTTACTTAGGGAAATAAAGGCAGCTTTACTAAAAATGCCTCATCTCTAGGGCCTGGAGTCATTGGCTAAGATGCCTCTAGGACGAGTGCAAAGGCCGTGCCCAGCTCCCGGAATGCACCAGGGCAACGTTAGTGTGGAAGAGACTCCAGGGCAGGTGGACAGTGGTGCATGGTGGGAAATGTTTGCAGGCAGAGTACAACTGAGGAACCTGCTCAGCTTCTCTCCCTGCCATGGAGTGGTAGCTAGCTTATGGGTCTGTTTTAGGGCCAGAGCTTGTACTCCTGATTTTAGCTCTTAGAGATGACTCTCGAGTAATCACAATCAAGATTGTTTCAGGGTCAGTCCTGAAAAGGCATCAACATATGTCTCACTCTCCAGACAGCCAAACCTGCTGGGGTTGTGGTGGGAAATCCAGGTGGAGTTGGAAAAATAACTGTCAATGGTTATCTTTGGAATGTTAATGGAGAGGAAAGGCCTCTGAAGATACATGGAGGCAACTGCCTGGACTGGGGGGATGTAGCAGGTGGATGGGAGAGGGCATTGCTTCCAGGTAACTGAGGGGTTGTGGGTCAGGACTCTTAGTTAATGGAGCTGTGGATGGGGTGGTGGTGCCGGTAGTGGTACAACAGGAAGCAGTGCTGAGAAATGGGAACTTATCTGCAGACTGAAGGTCGACTGGAACTCATACTAGGAGGGAGTACGGAATGTGAGTCCAGGTTTTACAAGGGCTCCCAGAGCTTCAGTCAACTCCCAGGCACACAGAGTAACTCCCAGATGGAGTTAGCCCCAGCTTTTCAGGATCCTCAGCATTGTAGACAAGTGTCTGCTAAGAGGCAGCCAGATCTTCACTGTCTTAGGAAACGACTTGACAGCGGAAGGGGGCTAATGATTCCCCCACAAATTTTCCAGTTATCCAGAGGCATCACATAAAATAGAAATACTAATTTTATCAATCACTTTATATACTTTTTTATACACAAGATCTTCTTTCATGCTGCATAATAGTGTTGGAGTTAGGTGAGATTTTTCATTCACAGAAGTTGCTAGATCTCTCGCTCTCTCTCTTTTTAGGATGGGAATATTATTGACAAACTTTAAATACAGATAAAAGACTTTCCCCCCCTCTTCACTAGGAGCTGATGACCTTATGTATAACAGACGTCCGGGCGAATATCTTCGAGGCAAGGACCGACAGCGAGCCCTGGTTGCAGCAGTTCGGCATCACTTGAAGAAAGTTAATTACCAAAACTTTGACACTTTGCTGGCAGCCTTCAGGCACTACGACAAGGCCAGTATCAGAGCATTTTGGTCTGTGCATGGGCTTAGATCCCGGCAGGGTGGTGTAGATCAGGGGACAGTGGACTATGGCTTGTAGGTCAACTCCAGCTACCACCTGTTTCTGTAAATAGTTTTACATGCCCATTTGTTTTAAGTATTGTCTGTGGATGCTTTTATACTGTAAATGCAGAGTGGTGCATCAGAGGCTGAATGGCCTGCAAAACCTAAAATATTTACTTTTTGGCCATTGACAGAAAAAATTTTGCGGTCCCTGGGAATAGATCAGTGATTGTCAAAGTGTGGTTCTTGTACCACCATCAGCATCATTTGAGAATGTGTTTGAAATGCACATTGTAATGCCCACCCCAGACCTACTGAGTTAGGAACTCAGGTTTGGGTCCTAGCAATTGTGTTTTAACAAACCCTTCAAGTGATTCTGATGCACATTCTAATTTGAGAACCACTGTTGTAGATTATTGAACTGTAGTGTACTGGGAGCAAGTGGAGGGGAGCACCGTGGATCCCTGGGGAAGACTCCTGAGGTAGAGACCATCTACACCTAAATCTGAATATGTACACACAGTACTGTCAGTCTAAGTCCAAGTCAAGCTGAGACTGTTTCTCCCCTGGGGGAGCAGGGTGTGGTTTCAGTTTCGAGAAGGCAAGATCATTCCATGTTCAAGCTACTCTAAATTTTATCTTTTGATAAAGTCAGATCAATCTAGAGCTGCATAGTTACCTTACACCATTTTAGGCCATCACAGGATTGCCTTTACCAAGCTGATTCACCTTTAGCTTACACTAAGGAGCACCATTATACAAATTGCTTGTGAAACATGGTACTTTTTTTGTTAGCCTGCCCATGAGGCTGTTATTTAGTTTTGTCACATGCATACTGTTTATAAGGAAACCTAATATAATATTTCTACAGGAAATAATGGTGCTTCCTCTAAGTCTCTGGTTTGTTTTTACATCACTGACAGCATAAATTTTACCCTGATTGTGCATACTTTTTTTGACTTGGCTGCCAGGAAGCTCAGAGTCAATTCAATGAAACACATCTAGTTTGTGAACATGATCTTATGGTATACATTTTGATCTTTTAATGTAGGTTTCATCATAATTTTTTCCATCCTTATATTCTCTTTGCCCTGACTTTCTCACTTTTTGGGGTTCTGTTTAGTTGTACTTATTTTTCTAGGCAGCCTCAGAACCATTTTAGAATGAGACTAATATAAACAAATAAAACTTAGAAATAAATCTGTGATGATGTGATGCATCATAATCTTGATATGAGAAGAAAAAGAACAGAATAATTGTAGTTTATATCAAAAGGAAAATGCAATATTCCTTTCTCTCCTCCAAGGTTGAATACAGCTTTTGAAAAAGTTACACTTCACATTTTTTATCTTAAAAAAAATCTTGGTCACTCATTGGCTCCTTCATTTTATTTGTTTTTAGATTAGGGGCTTGTGTACCTGTATTGTACTAATGAATAAAAAGTGGGTTAATATTCTCATTTAACTTTGTACTAATTATGTAGAGACATACATCAGTAAGTCATCAATTACATTTCCCACAAAGTTGTGTTTAAAGAAAATGTAAGTATTCAACTGTTGCTCTGATTTGTAATAGAGACCAATTGCTATTTATGAGTAATTTAAAAAGTGACTCTTCATTATTAAAATATGTAAGCTAAAATAAGTACATTTTATACTTTACTCAAATCCAAGTATCTTGCAAAGGTGATACCCAGGGAAATGTACATAGCAGTGGGATGAATGAGAAAACCTACATGATACATAATTCTCTGCTTTTAAAAAAATTCTTCATTTTAAATGTAATTATAGGCAAGACGATCATCTTAATAGCTGTTGATTATCTTAGTGAACCACCAGGCACATTTCTTATTATAAAATTAAATTAAGCAGGGAGGAAATTACTGAGAATCATTTAATGCTGATATACCTTTTAAATAGTGCACTTTTAATATGTACGATGTAGTTTTCAGTATCCTTGAGGAGGTTTTTTTCTGAGAGGGTAATAACGTGGTTCTTCCTAGGACAGCTATAGGATAATTTTTGATTATTTGAGTCTCATATTGTTGAATGCCCATTTTTCTTTTTTTTTTTTAAGATTTTTATTGGGGAATTGGGGGCATGGGAACAGTGCTGGGGAATTGGGGGAAGGGGAACAGACAAGTTGCTGTCGCTTTGCTCTTCAATCTAGTTGTGGAGGTTGTTGCTTCACTGGCCCAAGTTGGCACCATCATTGTGCTCTTCCTGGGCGAGGCAGATCAGTCGCCGGCCTCTGGACGGCTGCTCACTGCAGCTGCTGGCCATTCACGCTGGCTGCTGGCTACACATGGTAGCCCATGGGAACCCACTGCCACAGAGGCTGCAGCCTACACCGTCGCCGGTGACCCACGGCAGCCCAGCTCCAGGTCGAGCCGCTGTTCAGCATCTTAGCTGTGGAGGGCAGTGTCACTGGCCCTCACATGTGGGATCTGAACCGGGGCCCTCCGGCATCCCAAGCCAGCTCCCAACCATCGCGCCACTCGGCCGGCTGAATGCCCATTTTTAACTTAATGGAAAGACAACACAGAACAAATAAACTATTATTTCCTAAATGAGTCTCTTTGGCTTGAGGATTAATTAATTCTGTTATTTATTGAACAATACATGAAACATTATTCCACATAATGTGTAGACTTTCTATTTAGGGAACTTAAAATCTAGAGGGAAAAAAATGTGACATGTGCAAGAATAGTCCCAGCAGAGTCCCACATTTTCCAAGTAAGTCTGTATAATTCCTACTTCTTTTATTCTAACTATTATCCAGGAAGCAGCTGAGATGGGGTGACTCATTTTGGGGGACAGCTTCATTCACTAACAAAAGTGTTTTGCTAAGATGTGAACAGGAGCTGGTTGGAAGGTACATAGTTTTTGAGAAGGCTAATCCAAAGCTCAGTTCTACCAGTTGGCTGTGGATGGTTGGGGGCAGGAACGGTTCACTGAATGCCTTGCCTGACAGCTCATTGTTTGAGTTGCTTTTGTGCTGTAAGGAGCACCGCCGTCAGACTGAAAATGGTCCAGAAAGCAAAACACATGACTCAGATTAATTTCATGGGCCATACTGTTGTAACTGGAGCTGGTTGATTGGACTACAATAGCAATTCTGTAACTTGAAAATGTCTCAGCAGTCATGAGGAACCACCAATAGCTCTGAAAAGGGACAAAGGTTTGATGTAGTCAGTCTGCCAGGAGTGTGGGGGCAATGCCTTGTGTGTGATGTGTCCTTTCCCACCATGAGACAAATGGGCCAACTTTTGGCAGGAGTCACAGTTTGGCACACGATGGTAGCCTCTGCATCAGAAATGTAGAGTGCTTTACCTTGTGCCCTGTCTGTAATGGTGCGCGAGTTGCGATGTCTGGTTCAAGGATGGATTCAGGTAGCAATGGTGGCAACCTGCATGGTTCAGGCTCAATCAGAAGCTTAATTCCAGTTATTCTCATCAGGGACTACACCCTTATCATGGTCATCTATATGGATTACCCAGATGGCTCAGTCAGTAGCCATGATTGGTTTCCATAGTTTTTAGACTCAAGAGGAAGTGTCTTTAATCTTGCAGTCTGTAGCTTTCCAAGTGGCAAACCAAATAGACAAGCCACTGGCAGCAGTCCAAGAGTCAGTAAAACTATAACAGGTTTCTCAAGAGGAGGATTGGCCAGAGCCATGAGAATAGCCTTGGGTTCTGTCCACTGAGTAGAGTGACTGTCTGTTTTTGGTCCTTCATAGCTCTCTTTGAGGTTTAAAGCCACAGCAGCCCAGTGAAGACCACTGGGTTTCAGGTTCGTGAACAAGGCTCAGGCACTTAGGGGAGCCTCTGTGAATTGAGGGTCCCATTGAGCCCAGTGGCTTTGCTTTACGTGGCAAAGGTAAATAAAGTTTTCCCCAAAAGGGTTGCTGCCCCTTTTCATGTAAGACAGATGTTACTAGTGCTAGGCCAGCTGCCTTCTTGAATGTACCATTGTCATTTCACAAATGAGGCTTGTTAAGCCCTTTCTACCTTTTCTAACCATGTTGGCTCACCTCAAAATGTTTATCAGGCTGGAAAGTCACAAGGCCTCCACGGGTCAAGTGTTCAGTTTCAACAAAAAGTCAGTACCTGATGAAGAGCCGCTTTTCAAAAGGTGTCTACCTGGTTAACTGGGCTAGGGGGGCAGTGAGTTTTAAACCTCAAGGGGCACCTCCAAGCGTAGGTTGCCTCTGTTTTCCAGATGCTCTAAGTGACAAAATGATTCGTCATGGAGACTTGTTGCTCAAAGGGGTCATTAGGGTTCTGGGGCCCTAAAGCTCCTCGCAGTTCTCTACACGTGCTCTTCTTGATCATAAGTGTCCCCTGGTACTTCACAATACAGGCATGTAAAGTGTCAACAGCAATTATACGTTCAGTAGTGGCAGCCACAGAAGTATGATGTTAGCGTTCCTTCTCCATTTCAGACATCAGACACACCCTGTCCCACTCCACTAGCTGTACCCAGACCTCTCATCCCCTGCAGACTGAGTAGGATGATGAATTTGCACGCATACCCAAAGAAGCCATAAAAGTTCCGGTCTTGCCTCCTCTGAAGTCCCACAGCACACTTGGACTGCTGCGTGTGGCCTTTGATCTTCCTCGGGGACAGGGAGACCTTTGTCCCACATCTAGTCACCTTTCTTCTTAGAGCCACTGAGGTTGGGGGTCTGTGGGAGGGAGAGATCAAGGGTGCAGAGGGAGAGAGTGGCTTTGCACCTGGTGAGCTAGAAACATTTACTTTGAATCTTGTCTGGTTTGGTGGTGACATGCAGCTCAAAGAAATAAACCACCAAAGTTTTCAGTCTACACAAATTGCAAAAGCCACCAATGTTTCCAGTCCACACAAAGCCCTATTTCGGGCAGCCAAGTCATCGTTCTTGACGCCATGGATTTCGGTGGTGAAGACCTGTTATTCACCACCCACAGTCCGCAGAGCTTTCAGCTCAGGCTGTGGTGTATGCATTTTCAGTTGACTTGGGCTTGCCCCAGAGGCTTTAATAAAGGAGCCTGCTTTAATCCAGGGCATTTGTAGCTCCTTTGTCAAGATAACATATTTTAAATTCTCAGTCTATTTCAGCATAAGGGTTAGGGACATTTTCCAGGCCTACGGGTCTGGCTGCAGGAATTTATCTAGAATTCATTGGGTCAGTTTTTCATTCTCCAGTCATCACCACCCGCACTGTAAATTCAATCCTGGGCATCAGAGCTGAATACTAGTCAGTGGGGCATTTATGGTTTCCCTTGAGAGTTGGTCAGTCTTAGAGAAATTTCTCTGAGAGGGCCAAAGCTCCCTTATAGCAGCCAGGACGCATTGTAAAAATGCTCAGATCTTTTACTGTCGTCTCTGAATGGATTTAAGGTTGGCTTGATAGACTGCAGGAGGGACCGAGTGGTAAGACATCCCCAGTGCTTGCCGTTCTCCCTTAACAAGCATTATGTGCTCTGTCCCCTCATCTAAGTGAGTCAACCAGCTTCTGCCCAGAGCCTTCATAAATTTCCATCCTATCACAGTCAGTGTAGGTGCTCTGGTTTTTTGTTTTGTTTGTTTTTTAAATTATTACTTTTTATCGTGAAATACACATTTTTTAGAATTAGTTTCAGCTGTACAACACAGTACAATAGTTATACTTTTTACCCCTCGAAGTCACAACCCCCCTCCCCCAATCCGCCGCCCCACTTCCCCCCGCTAATATCATACATATCTATTACAATTCCCTTGACTCCACTCCCACACTATACTCCACATCCCATGACTATATATATATTCACTTATAGTTGACATACAATATTATACAACATCAACTTCAGGTGTACTGTGCAGTGGTCAAGCCTCTTCCCCATCCATGATGCGGTCTCCCTAGCAAGACATGTGACCATCTGACACCCTACAAAATATTTTTACAACATTATTAATCATATTCCTCGAACTGTCTTTCATGTCCCTGTGGCAATATTGTAGTTACGTATTTATGCTGTCTAACCCCTTCCCCTTCTCCCTCATCCCCACACCCTTCCCAGCTAGCAACCGTCAGTTTTTCCTCTATATCTCTGAGACCATTTCTGTTTACTTTGCTCGTTCATTCAGTTTTTTAGATTCCACATATAAGTGAGATCATATGGTATTTGTCTTTCCCTGACTGACTTATTTCACTTAACATAATAGTCTCTATGTCTGTCCATATCGTCGCAAATGGTATGGTTTCATTCTTCTTTATAGCTGAGTAATACTCCATTGTATAAATGTACCACAGTTTCTTAATCCAGTCATTTACTGATGGGCATTTCGGTTGTTTCCAAGTCTTGTCTATTGTGAATAGCACTGCAATAAACATAGGGGTGCATATATTTTTTCAAATTAGTGTCTTGTGTTTCTCTGGATAGATACCCAAGAGTGGAATTGCTGGGTCATATGATAGTTCCATTTCCAGTTTTTTGAGATACCTCCATACTGATTTCCATAATGGCTGCACCAATATGCAGTCCCACCAACAGTGCACCAGGGTTCCCTTTTCTCCACAGCCTTGCCAGCACTTGTTGTTGTTGATTTATTGATGATAGCCATTCTGACCAGAGTGAAGTGGTATCTCATTGTGGTTTTTATTTGCATTTCTCTAATGATTAGTGAGGTTGAACATTTTTCATATGCCTGTTGTAGGTGCTCCTGTTTTTAACTGTTGTCTGAAATGGAGCGGAAACCCCCCTCCTCCCCCTACCAGGATGAATTTTAGCGCTCATTGTTACAATGGGGGGCCCAACCGCCAAACTGGTAGCACGTCCCTCTTGCCCATATGAGTGTTGACAACACACAGGCAGCTGTCGTTGACTCTACCTCCCTGTACTTGGCCAGCAACTACTTCCCCAATTTCTCCTCCTTACCAGGCAGTGAAGGGGAGGACCATTTTGCACTGCTGCGTTGGAACACCAGAACGCTTTGAAAGTACAGAACATCATAGAGAGCTGTCAAAATTACACAACACAGGTCATATGAAATGTCAGCCATGAATCATGGTCACAGCCACTCTACCACAGTATAAACAGCACGATTGAAAGAAAAAAATTATTAAAATAGAATGAACAAAGATTCTGAACCACACCCTGCTCCAACCAGGGTTGAAGCTACTGTGCACATATCAGGTCGACTCCATGAAGACCCATCTCGCTTAAGAGTTGACTCCTCTTATGTGAAAAATAAGACACATCCTTTGAATTGCTGTGATAGAACATTTTTCTTCAATGAAATAATAGATGTTGCATACTTTGTTCTTTAAGACAAGGCTTACTTTTTATTTTTATTTTTTTATTATTTCACATCTGACAGAAGGGAGATGGGGTGATAGATAAAACGGAGCTTCGGGAAGTTTGTGACCAGGCCAACTTGCGTGTAAATGAGAAGCTTCTGCACCAGCTATTTGACTATTGTGATGTGGATAATGATGGGCTGATTAACTACCTAGAATTTGCCAATTTTCTTAACTGGAAAGATAAAATGCCTCTTAAAGAGTATGAAGAGAGGGTCATCATTAAAGGTATTTAATCTTTGAAATTTTGCAAAATTCTTAAGTGGACTTTTATACTATTTTCATTTTTCTAGGGGTACATATCTTCTCAACTTTAATATTATATATTTTAAAATGTGCACATATATGCATATTTATTTATTTACTTGTTTTTGCATAGGCTCTCTGTAGAAAAATCAGAAAAAATTTAATAACATCTGTTATTTCCGGGAAGGGGGAACTGAGGGATAGGGTGTCAGCAAGACTCCCTTTTTTAATCTATGTTTTTGTATCTTTCGATTTTGGGACCATGTATTACTCATTCAGGAGAAAATAAAACAAAAATAAAAGCAAAACAATTTTTACAGAAGCCCAAAATATGAGACAGTTCCTCAGAAAGCTGTTTGAAAACCATTGTCTTCGAGTAATTATCTCCCTTCCCCTTGGGAAATTCACTAGTAAAATAGAATTTGACATAGAAAAATTTGATTTCTAAATTTGGAAAAAAATGAAAAACATAATCGTTACCTTTATTCAAATATTTTTGTGTTTACATATTAGATCCCTGCATCACTAATCATACACAGATATCTTAATGTGTGTATGCATATATTTTAAACATAGCCAAAATCATAGCGAATGTACCATTTTTATTTGGTTTTTTTTTTAAATTTAACTTTCACATTTCTATGGAATGAAGAGATACTTTAATGTTTTCTTTAAACTTCATTTTCAGTTCCCTCATGCTGATGTATTATGAATTACTAAACCATTTCCTCATTCTTTGAAATGTAGGTTGTATCTAGACATTTTTAAAGTAATACGGGTAACGCTATAACGATTATTATCTCTCAAAAGCTTTCTGTTTCTAATTATATCTCATTTCTTATGAATGTTATTATTATCCCAGAAGTAACTCTCTTTACATATTTTCATTTTGCTTTTCTAAATGATTTTACCAATTTGCAACTTTTATCAGCCAAGGCTGTGAGAAGGTTTTACTCCAACTGTGTTACCATTGAGTGTTATTTCAAACATTCTTGTAATTTAGTTGATATATAATGATGCATCATTTGCTTTAATTTTCAAATCTTGATTATTAGAGAGGATTGACTATTTAAAAAGGTTGTTTGCATTTTTATTTCCTCTTGGAATATCTCTCTTCTAAAAAGCGAAGATACTACTGTTTTTACTTTTATTCTTTGGTCATGCCTTTCTACAAGGCCAAAGCCAAATTTGGGGCTTTATTTATTTATTTTTAAGAGTTTTCTATTGGGGAACAGCCATGGTCATTGGTTACACATTCTTTCTTGCTTCAATGGTATAATTGACTCTTTTAAGGAGGGCGTAGTTCACAGTGGCCCATGCGGGGATCGAACCGGCAACCTTGGTGTTATCAGTACCATGTTCTAACTAACTGAGCTAACTGGTCACCCCTTTGGGGCTTTATTGATGATGTGACACTTTAAGAGTTTCTGGGACAGCCTTTCAAGTCTATCCACTGGGAAAGCAGGAAAATCTTTTCTATTTAATGAAGCTTTTTATAGAAAACAGCTCTATCCCAATATTCTCAGAAATAAACAAGGGGGAGTTTTTTTCTTCTTGGCACAACTCATGGAAGAGTAGCGGGGGAAAAGCAGAAGCCTGTTTTCAAACCAGGCAGTTCTTTTCATTGTTGCTGGTTTGGGGGTCTTGACTTCATCAACCATTTTAAATGGAGTTCTTGAGGTTTTTCATCTTCTAAAATAGTGACCAGTGGGTCAGAAGGGACACAAGAATTTTTTATATCAAATTCTGTCGTATTGTTTGACTTCTGGAGGAATGAGTGGGGGTTACATACTCTAAGACAGAGGTTTGCAAGCAGTTTTCTGAGGAACTGTCTTTCATACTTTGAACAGATTTCTGGGTTGTTTTGGGGAGGGGTGTGAGGAGGAGACCAGAGGATCTGAAACACTGGGCCTGTATGTTTTCAAGGCAGCAATTGGCATGCGCTGCATGGAGGTGGTGCAGGCTTTAGAGAGGCGTGCCTTTTCCGGTTTGCCAGGGCTCCCACCCCGCTCTAACACTGGGCACCATTTGCCTTTGCAGCCCTTGCCTAGGCTTTTCCAGAGCCGTGAGACCTCTTCTAGAGATTGAAAGACCACAGCGCCCTCTCGTGCTACCTGTGGAATTACCAGCTCCGTGAAAAAGAAGGTGTTAGGAATTTAGTCTGAAGCTTTCAGAATTGTCTCAGCAAAGCAAATCTGCAGAAGAGGCCAGAGTCATGCAATTTTAGTTCTACCTCAGGGTTGTCTTTTAAATACGATTTCAAGGGAGTTATTTATCTATATCCCTGAGCTCACAGTTGAGTTCTCATCATTTCTCCAAATGCTACAATACCCGGGCCTCCCCACCACAATCAGGTGTATGTGGAATTTACCACTTGAAATGTATCTTTTCCTATGTCTCTGTAGGGCACAAGTCCTAGAAACAACTCTGGCAATCCTGTAGTTCAAGTTCAATATGAAAATAAGCTCTAATTTAAAAAAAAAAAAAGAGGAAAGAAAAAAATAGGTTCTACGTTTTCATTTGGTCGTTCAGATTTAAAAGCTTTAATCTGCAGTAAAGAGAGTAGAGTAGTGAAAAGAAACATTAGATAAGGTTCCAGTTTGCTGCTAGGTGACACTGGCCTGAACTTGCTCTTCCACAGTGGGATGTTGGTATCTGTGGAGGGTTTACATGAGCCCAGTCTGAGCTTCCACCAGCAAGAAGGGATTACCATGGGAAAACTGACTTGGTTGCAAAGCTGCAAGTACCACGTTAATATCTTCCTTACTTTTTCCTCCTTTCCCTCTTTGCTTAAAGGTAGAAAACCAGATTGTGCAAACCCTGCTGAGGCTACTGTTGAAGAATCTAAACCAACTCTCTTGATAAAGCCTGAAGATATTGTCTTAAAAGAACCAGGGAGCTCAGAAAAGACTCTCCGGACCCTTCTGAGGCCTAGCGATAAAGTGTCTCGCCACTATAAGACAACGTCTTCTGAGATCGGTGCAGTTGTAGGAGCTGTTCCTTCTATGTGTGAGTATGTCACATTATTTGTTGGATTTTAAAAGGATCAGCAAACGTAGAAGCGAAGTGTCCTTTGTTTGTCCTTGCATTTTCCCCCCGCATCTGTCTATTATACTGTGAGTTTCTCAAACCCTAGGGCTTTTTATTTAATCCTGTATCTAAGCACTCACGGTGGGGTCTCGGTAACTGTAGGCCGAACTGAACTATTGTTAATGATGACCAAGTAAAATGATTCTCTCTACATTAATGAAATTGAAAGCATCATAGATCAAAACACTGAATGGTGTACATTGTATTAATTCAGACTTCACCAAGCTTTAGGAGACTTTTAAACCACTGTGATTCTTCGCTACAGATTTGCCTTCAGATTTTTGAAGAGCTGGTATAAAACAGTTCTCAATGTCTTCACTCTCCATCTCCATTAGTTTGCAAGGGCTGCCGTACCAAGTACCACCAATAGGTTGGCTTAAATAGAAATCTGTCATCTCACAGAGCTTGAGGTTAGAAGTCTGAGATCAAGGTGTTGGCCAGGGCTGGTTCCTTCTGAGGGCCGTGAAGGGGCATCCGTTCCAGGCCCCTCTCTTAGCTTCTGGGGGTTTGCTGGTAATCTCGGGTGCTCCTTGGCCTTTGCTGCGTCACCCTGATCTCTGCCTTCATATTCACAGGATGTTCTCCTGGGTGAGTGTCTGTGGCCAATGTCCCCGTTTTATAAGGACTCCAGTCATGTTGGGTTAGGGGCCTACTCCAATATGATCTTATCTAAATTATATCTGCAATGACCCTATTTCCAAATAAGGTCACATTCTAGGAACTAGGGGTTAGGATTTTAACATATGAATCTGGGGAAGATACAGTTCAACCAATAACACCCCATATCTTGATATCGAGCATGATGAATTCTGGTTATTTAGAAAGACTATTTTATGTTGGTCAAGGTCACGTCCTTGGATTAAGGACATGATTAAGGATTTACGTATTTTTCACAACTGGATTTTATAGACATGCTGTACATTCTAGTGCAACGGTTCTCAACCTGTGGGGCGCGACCCCTTTGGGGATCGAATGACCCTTTCCCAGGGGTCACCGGGTACTCGTATGTATGTGGGCGTATCTGCATGTGGGCCTGGAGACGGATAGAGGAGCGGTGTCTCGGTTCCTAAGACCATCGAAAATATGTGTTTTCCGATGGTCTTAGGTGACCCCTGTGAAAGGTTGAGAACTGCTGTTCTAGTGTAATGAGATCTTGCTACTCTTTAGTGCTGTTCAATAGAA